TTTTTAACTTGTCTTTTTAAATAAATGTAATCAAATTTTCTCTCTGCGAAAACCTACCCTGTTTCTTTGCTTATATAGTTATTTGTAAACATCTCACGACGTGTCACCTAAAGGCATTCATGAATTACGTGCACGAACTTAGTATATATACATGACCTTCAAATGAGATCTTTACCTGCTTTTCAAGCTGGAATTAATTTGAATAAAAGTTATCACTACTTGCCCCTTTCCTCTTTGCTTGCAAGACCTTGATATTCAAAAAATGTTTTCCTCGTGAAATGTTTCTATTTTAAATTTAATAAAGTCATTGATTTGCCGCTTATTTTCCTGCGCATGAATATAAACATTGTACTCATTAGCTTTATACCCATATAATAGATTTTTTACATTATTGCTTTTTTTTACACGTGTCAATGTTTATCTAGTTATCTGTAAACATCGCACGACGCATTACTTCAAGGAATCGCTGAAGTACATGCAGAAATTTAGTATACGTACATGACTTTCAAAGGGGACTATTTCAATTTTTTAAAATCAAAATATAAAATGATTAAAAAAAAATCGTTTCGTATTAAACCTCATACAGTTTATGCACAGATGACTAAACGGCTAGGTCAAAGACTCCCAAGGGTTCAAATATAGCCCTGCTTAATTTCGAATAAATGACCAGAGCGAAAGCACGCAGCCAGCAACACCTGCCATCGTAAGGCCTCTTTGAACCGAATAATAAAATTGACTGTCACTTTTATAACGCATCCACAGCTGAAAGGGCGGAACGTATTTAGTGGTATCATGTCTCGAACCCTTGGCCCATCGATCTTCAGTCCTACAAGCTAACCGCTAAGGCCAAGTCCGGTCGTTCGAAAAACTTAATTGAAAATGTTTATTTCAAGCAATAACAAGTTATTTTCCAACTATACAAATTAAATATAAAGGTTTATTTTGAATTCGTTTTATTAGACAATGAGTAACACCTTGCAGGAAAATTACCCTAAGAAATGCAGTTCAATGACAGAGAAGAGCGGACATTAATGACCTTATTGTCAATAAATACTGCGCTAATACTAGATGCTTAAAATAATCCGTTATGTAAATAAAATTAGCAGGATCATAGGTTTAGGAAAAAGATCTCAACTATGAATATTAGAGTAGAATCTTAGCAGATTTTCTTTTTAAAAAAATCGTTTAGTTAATTTTGAAATGATCATAGTTTATATTCAGTTCAAATAGATCATAAACTGCAAAATAGAGGTCTTGTAATACATATACATAATGTCCAACCAGTAAGTCATGACAGAATATCCTGAGAACCATTCTATTACATCACCACGGTACTTTATATTAGCATTTATTTTCAGGTAAAGAGCATTCATCGGGTCAATAAAGTGTAACGTACGAGCAATCTTGGCGTACTAGACGTTACTACACTCAAAGAAGATGGTAACAGAAACACGCAAAATCAACAATACTGAAAGAAACATGCAAAATCAACAATACTGAAAGAAACACGCAAAATCAACAATACTGCAAATACTTGTGGCATATTCTCTTTCACTCAGCTTCCGTACAGTTTGAAGTAATAAAGAAACGTGGTTAAATCTATTCTTTTAACAACTGTATTAGAAAAATTATAAAGCTGTTTTTAAAAGTTATAGAATAATAGAAAATACATTACGATGCTGGTTAAAACCACAGATCCTGTAAATCAACTATCTGAACGTCAGTTATTATAAACGCGATTCCATTCTTATTTTGAATCTATATCTCTGGGTGGTTTGGTTTGGTATGAATATCGCGCACAGCTACGCTAGGGCTATCTGCGTTAGCCATCCTTAAGGTAAGGCAGCTAGTTAACACCACCTCCCGCCAACTCTCGGGCTACCCTTTTGCCAATGAATAGTGTGATTAACCGTTATTTTTATAATGCTCCCGCAGTTGAAAGGGCGAACATGTTCGGTAACGGGGATTCGAACCCGCAGATTGCGAGCCGAGCGTCCAAACCACTAAGCCGTGTCAGGCCCATTTTCTCGATGGTCGAGGAATCCTTTCACACGTAAAATAATAATGCTGAAATATAAACCGACACTATTCTAATCAATGACTTTTTAGTTATGTTAAGAAATAAACCATTCTTTTTTTTAAGGTTAACATTGTCTTAAAGCAAGACTGTTGAAAATGGTTCTATTCAAACATTTAAGTTTATGAACTAACAGATAAATTTTCTACACATTGAGATCAATGCTATAACGCTCGACAATGTAATCGATCACTCCGTATTGCATGCATTAATGTCAACATCCTAGAATAAGACACCGCTTGGATTAATGTCAATATCCTAGAATAAGACACCGCTTGCATTAATGTCAATATCTTATAATAAGACACTGATTGCATTAAAGTCAATATCCAAGAATAATTCAACGCTTGAATTAATATCAACATCTTAGAATAAGACATCGCATGCATTAATGTCATTATCCTAGAATAAGACACCGCTTGCATTAATGTCAATATCCTATAATAAAACATCGCCTGCATTAATGTCATTATTCTAGAATAATACTTCTTTCTTGCATTAATGTCAACATCCTAGAATAAGACACCGCTTGCATTAATGTCAACATCCTAAAATTAGACACCGCTTGCATTAATGTCAACATTATATAATAAGACGTCGCATGTATTAATGTCAACATTATATAATAAGACATCGCA